ACTAAAATAAGACAGAAGTTGGTATCAGGAACCCTGGGGGATTGCTGTAACAGAACTGACCATGCTGTTTGTTGAAGGAATATGGAAGACTTTGGGACTTTGGACTAGAAAGGCAACTGGACACTCTAATGGGGCCTAATGGACAATCCTATCAGGAACATGGAAGACAGTGCTGGGGAACTGTGAATGTTAATAAGTAGCTTGGAGACCGTTCTTGTGGTATTTTGGCAAGCATGTGGCTGCTTGCTGCCCTTGTCCAAAAAAATAATAAATAAATAAAACCAAACCTGCCTTAGGCTAAACTGCAGCATTTTGGATTAATGACATTGGCAGAAAAGATTTCAAGACAGCCTGGTATCGACTGTGTTGCATGGTTACTAGTGATGACTCTCACACAGATCTGCAGTGAAAAAGGAGCAGGTGGGACAAGGAGAAATGCAAAATGTCCACTTTGAGGAGAAAGGGAACACCAGAAAGGTAATGGAGATAAATCCATGCACAAGGAGATGAAAAGTTTAAAGAAAACTCTGATGCTAAATGTAATAGAGAGAGTAGTGACCTCAAGTCAAGACTCCACTCAGCTCAGCTTCCAAGCTGTGAAAAAGAATTAAAGAAAAGTTTAGGCAGTGAGTGAATCCATTCACAACTGGAAGCTGTTGCAGATGTAATTGGCCAAGGGACCAAGCTAAATCCCCATCAAGTAGCAGAACTTGTTAGTTTTAGCCACGTGGTTCTGGCTTTAAGAGTCAAGAATACAAGAGAGCAGTTGTGGAGTCTTCCTCTGCAGCTAAGGTATGCTGCTAAAGCCAGGCGTGTGTCAGGCGTGTCCCTGTGTGGAGGCCCAGAGACTAGGTGAGGCTGTGAAAACAAAGCCTGGATTGCACTGGAGACCCCAAGATGCTGGAGATGCCAGAGTAGTGGGATACTCGCTGAGGAGAGCTGCCAACAGGAAGTGGAACCAGCCCAAGAGAAAGAAGTGTGCTGCAGTCAACCAAGATGAGAGAAGTTAGAGATCTGGGGAGCCTTTTGACATGACATCAGCCATGGACATGCAGAGTTTGGAGTTTGCTGGGTTTGTTTTAGGTCTTGCTTTGGTCCAGTATTTCCTCACTATCCTCCCTTTCCTCTCTTTTGGAATGGTGGTGTATATCCCGTGCCATTGTATGCTAGAAGTACGTGATCTGACTTTTAATTTTGATTTTACAGGGGTGTACAGTTAAGAGATTGCCATGAGTCTCAGAAGAGACTTTGAATTTTGGACTTTGAAGCAGTACTGAGACTGACAGACCATGGAGATTTTGAAGTTGGACTGAATGCAGTTTTGCACTATGATATGACTATAAACCTATGGGGACTGAGGAGTAGAATGTGGTGGGTTGACTAAGAATGGCCCATAGGCTCATATATTTGAATGTTGGGTCTCCAGGGAGTGGCACTATTTGAAAGGATTAGGAGGTGTGGCCCTGTTGGAGGAATTGTGTCCTGGAAGTGGTATTTGAGGTTTGAAAAGCCCCTGCCAGACCCAGTTTCTCTCTGACTATAGATCCTGTCAGCTAGCACTATGCTGGCATGCACGCTGCCATGCTCCCTGACATGATACTGAAAGACTAATCCTCTAAAACTATAAGCAAGCCTCCAGTTTAATGCTTTCTTTTATAAGAGTTGCCTTGATCATGGTGTCTCTTCACAGCCATCGAACAGTGACTAAGACACCAGTGAGTTCTTAGAGAGTTCTGTCTCTACATTCGAGTTCTTTTAGTATCTGCTCATGTCTGTTTTGTTGTTGTGTACAGGTTTGAGGCACAGATACAGGGTCATGAATAGTGAAGAGATCTGAGTTTTGACCCAGATTCTTCTACCCTGTCACTGGGAAAGTTCTTGCCTTGGTGTTTTGTTTGTACATGGCAAGAAACCCCAGGACTCTGTGAACATTGAAAGTGAAAGAATTTTGAAGTACTTAGAGTATAAAAAAAGTGTCCAATTAGCTGGGCTGGGATGGTGCACGCCTTTAATCCCAGCACTCAGGAGTCAGAGGCAGGTAGACCTCTGAGTTCAAGGCCAGCCTGGTCTACAGAGCAAGTTCCAGGATAACCAGGGCTACACAGAGAAACCTTGTCTTGAAAAAAAGAAAAAGGAAAAAGAGTAGACAGTTCAGCAGAACCTTCAAATCATTGTTTTCCTGCCCTTCAAACCTCTTCCTCGACTGAGCTCCTAGAAACTTCCTCAGTTCAGTTAAGCATTGGGATATTTTAGGAAGCATGAATTAACATTTCTAAATAGGCCAGACAAACACAAGAAATGTCAGAGAACCTGTGGTACTCTTCCCAGCGCTGCTTTACACGCTCCTCTCAGTCCCATATGTTTGCACATTTAGATATTATCCTCTGCAGGAAGAAATGTGTCTTCTTTAGAGGTTGTGTTCAACTCTAGAGGTTGCTGACAACTAGCCTCTCCTCAGCCTCCATGTGAATGCCTCTTGGCACTTGTGGTAGAGCAGAGAAAGAGCTGAGTGAACAATTGGAAACAGTTGGGAGAAGGGGCACTGGCATCTTAGGACAGTGGGCACCACACAAGGAGTCCAGGCACAGATGTTTACAAAGTAATATAGTGTTTCACACACATGTATGCTAAGTAATATCAGCTTGGGCTCGCTCTCTCTCGCCACTTTTTGATATAGTTTTCTTGACCAATCTCTCTCTCTCTCTCTCTCTCTCTCTCTCTCTCTCTCTCTCTCTCTCTCTCTCTCTCTCTCTCTCCCCAAACCTTTCTCTCCTACTTTATGAATGCAGGTGACACTGGGTGGGGGGTGATAAAGAGTGGAGAGAAGAAGAACCCACAAAGTAGCAAAGCCGGGCTACGTATTTCAGTTACGTTACCCTCTCTCTTCATAATCAGTCTTGTCATCAATACCGTGTAGACAGTAGGCAGGAAATAAATCCTCTGGAACCGAACCAACTTGATCTGTTACACAGACGTTAAAGACTGACGTTTGAGAACAGCGCCAAAGAAACTTGAAATTGCAAGCACCTCCCTGGGAGACCCATCTGGGAATTAAGTTTGCAAGGCTGCTGTGACTGGCACCTCGTTCTTTGTCTGACTTCTCAGTGCCAACGGGAACTTCTGTGTACTTCCCAGAACAAAGTGAAACAGGAAGGCAGAGGCTACATCTCCAACTGATTCTTGCGCTGGAAAGCAAGGCCTATCTGTCATCTCTTTACCTTTAAAGAAATGTAAGAATATTTAAAAATAGTCATAATACCAATGATACACAGTTAGAAGAATGGATACGGCTAAAAACAAAGGCGTGTATGTGTGAGGCGTGGAAGTAGAATCAGAACCGGCAGTGAGATTTTGATTTGTTTAAAAACCCAAAATATGTTCTGTATGTTGTTGTTCTAATCCCAGGTGTGGGCTAAGAGGCTGCTTCACAGCAAGTGATTAGGATTTGTCACGTGCACTAGCAAGGGCGTGATTTTTGCCAGCTGCAGATAGTTTATTCTGGGGACTCTGGAGAGGGTGTAATGGGAGAGCCCTGAGAGAGCCTGTGGAGCCTGCTGCTCCCCCTGCTCATGGTCCCTGCTGTTGGGGTTTGTCAAGTGGTGCTGAGCAAAGAGATGAGAGAGAGGAAGAAGTTGGAGAATTCCAATGAAGACTGGAATGGCCCCAAGAAGCTCAACATCCCTAATCAGCAGGAAGTAGTCTGAAGGGCTCTACGCCCACTTGTCTTCCTAACCTTCTTTCTCTCCTACCTAGTGTTGGAGGGTTGGAAGGAACTAGGGTGGAATAAAGGTTGGAAAGGAGGTAGAAGTATAAGAACCCAATAAAATAGAAAAAAAAACACCTACAAGAACACTCCAACAGAACAAATGGTACAAATGGGGAGGGATAGGGGGTGGATATTCAACATACAGTATACACTTACACAGAAAATATTCTCATATAATACAGGACCGTGTAAAATGAATATACACAATGAGGGCCTTTTATTTTTAAAAAGCTTTAAAAACTGAATAAGAAAACTTTAAACTTGGAAGACTTCATTTATATAGTAATAAAGCCTCTGGGTAACTTTTTCCAGTGCTAACATAGGGATATCATTTGGTTTTACTCACAGTTAATTAACAAATATCTGTTATTTACCTCGCTTAATCATGGTTTGATTTTTTTTTTTAAATTGATTCTTAGCTAAAAAGAGCACACACTAACTAGTGAGACAGCTCATCAGGTAAAAAAAGGTGCCTGCTGCCAAGCCTGATGATCTGAGTTCAAATCCTGGGGCCCCCCCATGGTGGAAGAAGAGGATAACTCCTGATAGTAATCCTCTGCCTTCTGCATGTGCCATAAACATACAAATATATAAGAGGTAAATAAATTAATTAGTGAGCATGTGATAAAAAATAGTACGTGATCATTTGAAAGAAAGAACCAATGTACATAAAGTTGAAAGAGAACTTTTTCCATACTCCTCTCCCCCCCTCCCTCAACCATCTTACACCAGACTATAATGGCTATTAATAATTTGATTCACCTCCTTATCTCTGACTACTCGAAATACATACCTACATATGCTTGTAATGTGTATCCCACCAAGAACATTGCGATTAATAAGTCTATACTACTTTGACTTTATATACTACTTTTTTTCCTTCCTGTTCAATAAGTTCACATGCTAATTGGCCCTGGTTTCTCTCAAAACCACTTATTTTTTTTTTCCCAGTGTTAATGCACTCTGACAACTTCCCACTCGAGAGCCATTAATACCTCCAGTTTTCACCACAAGCCACGCAGCAGCAAATGACACCAGTTTAGGTTTTAATCTGCTTTTCCTTTTCGCAGGACTGTGGAAGCTGAAGTCATTGCAGAGTCTGGACCTGTCATTCAACAGGATAGTTCACATTGGGCTGTCTGATTTTCGTGGCTGCCGGCAGCTGGAGAGCATCTATTTAAAGAGTAACAAGATCCGCACGGTTCACCCAGAAGCCTTCAAAGGGCTCAAAAACTTACAGGTTCTAAAATCTATCTTGCAACCGTCTTAAATATACAGGGTTGTGGTTGACTAGATTAGAGGGCTGTTTCCTTTTTGAGAGTGTCTCCTTGTACAGGGGTACTGGCTTTTTAAAGTGTGTGAGTCTATTTAAGACGTCCTGAAACAACTGAAGTCTACTGCTCAAAAATTAAAGATCGCAACAACGGACATGAACTTAATAAGAATTCTCAGCAGCAAGAAGTCACATGTTAGGCTGAATATGGCTGTGTTCATAAGGTGCCTGCCCAGAATGCCTTGGGCCCTAGGTTCAATCTCCAGCACACAGTTGTATTCTGGGTAGGGGTAGAAGCAGGAGGATCGTTAAGTCCAAGATCATTCTCAGCTGCATACCAAGTTCAAGGCCAGCAGGCTTAGAAGAGACACTGTCTAAAAAGAAAGAAAGAAAAAAGAAAGAAAGAAAGAAAGAAAGAAAGAAAGAAAGAAAGAAAGAAAGAAAGAAAGAAAGGAAGAAAGAAAGAAAGAGTAAGAGGGAGAAAGGGAGACAAGGAAGGAGGAAGGAAGGAAGGAAGGAAGGAAGGAAGGAAGGAAGGAAGGAAGAAAGAAAGAAAGGAAGGAAGGAAAAAGAAAGAAATTGTTATATTATTTACCAAATCAAAATCAAATGAAATTCAACCAGTTGGCAAAGAATTAAATGTGTTCTTTAAGAGTTTGAAGGCAGCCTGGTCTACATAGGAAGTTCCAGGCCAGCCAGGGTTACAGAATGAGACACTGTCTTAAACAGGCAAACAAACAAAGAACCGATGCCACCTGCCTAGGCTCTGCCAGGACTCTTGCACAAACTGGAGCCTTTGGAAGGTCTTTCTGAGTCACTGTGGCCAATGCTGAGATGTTACCAGCTCAGGACCATATTGGCAGCTGCTGGCCATGACCCTGTAGTTTTCACACTTGGGCAGTAAAAACAACAGTGGTAACAGTTCACATGTGTGCACAACTCACCACACGCCACGCGTTACTCCAAACACCTCTGGCGTTCATCATGGGGCAACATGAAATTATCTTCTACCCGAATAATTAATATAAAATTATCGAGGTGATATTTTTACATTCCATTTTTCAAACATAGCCCTTGATCTCTATTGTGTGTTTTATAGCTCCGTGGTCACATGTGGCTACTGGCTGCCATATTAGGCAGCCTGGACAGAGACCGTAGATCGTCCCCCAGCATTATACAAAGTACTATTAAAGATAAGCTTCCACCGCTCCTTTGCAACCACCATGGCTCCCTGAACGCTCCTTGTGGAAGACAGACTGAGGGAGCAGAGACGAGGTGGGGGCGGGGCCTCACTGCCTGGAATCTAGCCTAGACTCACAACCTCATCACAAGCAAGCTCCAGTGTCTCTGTGCCTCAGTCTCCCATCTGTATAATGGTTCCCTATAAGAAGGAGCTTAACTGTGTATGAAGCACTTAGCACACCACCTGGGGTGATTATAAACCGTTCTCCAGTACACAGCTCTAACAGGGTTGCTCCTGTTGCTTAGAACCCTTCCGAGACTTTACAGCCAGAGCCTGACCCCTGCCTGCCTCTCCAGCCTCATTTCAAGCTGCTGTCACCTCGAGTATTACTGTCCTGCCTGCTTGCACTTTGGGTCTCTCCTACCCCCACTTGCTCCTCCTCCTTACCCAGAAGACCTAGGGCTATGCGTCCTTCCAGCTTTGGTTGAACGTCACTTCCTCCAGGGAGTTTTCCTTAGTCTCTCTTTTCAGAAGCCTTCGACATGGCTGCATGTTTCCTCACTACACTGGTGCCAGCAGAATTTGAGCATGGGTTGTTGTCCATGCCTAGCCCCTTCCTTGCTAACACCAAAGGGTCGTCACATACCTGCAGAGCACACATTGTACCTCATTTTGTTTCCTAGAGCTAAGCTGGGCGCATTTTAAAACACCTGTTGAATAAACACAGGGATGGGTAATAGGAACACTCCAGTGTAGATTCATTCATTGTCTATTGGTGTATCAGGATTTACCATAGTTTCGGAGCTAAAACGGCACACATAGATCACCTGGCAATGTCTATGGGGCAGGGATTCAGACATAGCTTAGCTGGGGGGTGGGGGGCTCCAACTTATTATGGTCACTCAAGATACTTCACCAGTGTCGTGGCTGGAGTCACACCTGGAAGTCTTACTGGTGAAGAACAGCTACCTAAGCACAGTGGTTAGGGCTTGCTTCCTTATTGGGAGGTTGGACTGAGGGCTCAGTTCCTTTTCAGCTGTTGGGTTAAGTCTCCCCTCAGGATTCTGCCCTGAAGCGTTCTCCATCAGGCTGTCCATGATATACCATCTTTCTATGGAGGCAGTCATCTCTCTGACATTCTCTGCACTCTGTAAGAAAAGCATCTCTACTTTACGGAGTGTCATCATGAAAGCAGCATCCCTTTGTTGCTGCTGGTGATAATTGGCTAGAAACCAGATCAAACTTTTCACCTACCCTGGAGGGAAGAAATCACCTAAGAGCCTGAATGCCAGAAGGTAGGATTATGGAGAACCACTTTGGCTTCTGCCTGCCATGGAAGTTATTAGAGTGGAAAAGCCCCCCTTCCCTTGGCTGTGCTCCCCACTCACTTGGCTGTGCTCCTCATTCATTTGGCAGTGCTCCCCACTTACTTGGCGGTGCTCCCTTCTTCAATGGCAAGAGACTGGCAGATTGTGAAGAAGCCATAACTGGTGTGTACTGGTTATGGGCACATCTATATGTGGAATTTGTCCTGTATGTTCCCTCCTGTGCATTTTATTGTGCTTTATGAGTCTCCGAAGCTCAAAGTTTTTAAAAAATTAGACTAGGCAAGCTATAAATCAGCTCTGAGCATGTTGGGAAAAAAGCCATAATCCACAACTAGCCAGAACTGGGAATCTTCTCCCAGTCCTGTGCGTGGCATTCCCTTGTGTGTGGTTGGCAGTGGGCTGTGATGAAGATGTTTGGTACCAGGAAGCTGCATATCACATTGGTTGGCTTCTCCCCTCCGGAAGATGAATTTCACATTTGCCCTGTTATGTTAGGCTTCCTGTGGGGATACCTTCCCAGAAGCCAAATAGATTTTCAAAACATAAATCCATCAGCATACTTCAATGGGATGAAATAAGTTTCGCTGACGTTTCAAATTAGCTTTTCTTTTCTTAATCTTATCTCCGACACGGTGATTTGTGCTGTAATACACTGCCCGGATCCCAGCCTTCCTGGAATATATGTACCTTTCAAATGCTGCAGGGCAGGGATTTCTTTTGCTAAGTTAAAATTCCATTTTTGTCTTTTCTCAGAAATTACTCTTTCTGCATTATTTCATTCATTTCCTTTCCTCCAGACTGGCTTTCAGTGCCATGATTTGTAATTTAAAAAAAAAATACTAAGACACAAAAATACACTAAACAGAAAATGTCTGCTCAAAGAACATGATAACTCAGTATGATGCTGAGACCAGGCACCCATGAGAGTAGCTTTTGACCCTGGGCAATGCCAGGCCCAAGCAAAGTGCTTTTCTACCTTGTCCTGACCCCTGCCTCCCATGAGCCTCAAGCTCAGGAGCCTTCCAATGAGCATCAAGACCAAATAGCTGCTCAACACAGGAAAGTCACCCTCATCAAGTTCCTGAAGAACTCAACTCTATTCCTAGTGATTTTTGTTCATGATGAAGTTTGGTTGTTTGGCTTCCCTCATCTCAAGAATGTGTATAATCTAAGATGCTTATTTAAAAATTGGCCTTGGTCAGAGGTTGAGGGAGGGGATTGGCATGAACTTGAAGCCAGCCTGGATCATATAGTGGATTTTTGGCCATTCTTGGTGGACAGGAGAGAAATTGTTGACCTTGGCAATGCATGACCTTTCTAGTTGTCGTACCTGTCCTCTTTTGATAAAGCAAGGCTGGCATTCTCTGTTTGCTGATCTTCTGTTCAGCTGTCACCACCTGAGAATTTCCAAATGTCTCCTTCAGACTAATGTGGTAGCTCATAGAGAGTTGTTTTGACATGAAGACACAAAGCTACGAGGCCAGAAAACATTGAAATTCTGTCCTCTAATCCTGTGGAAATCTCCACTCTTGTTGTTTGAGGCAGAGTCTTACAGAGCTCAGGATGGTCTCAGACTATTTAACCTTTATCTCCTGATCCTCCTGTCAGGACCTCCTCAGTGCTGGGATTACAAGCATGTACTACCACACTAGATTTATAATATGCATTCTTTACTGAGTACCTGTGCTGACCCAGACCCTTTTACTGACTAAGTTCTGTGTGGAATCCACTGTGTGGCTTAGCTGAACTTCTTCCTCTGTGTAAAAGGGGAACTATGGAAGTTGTTGGGAGACACTGAGATTGAATATATATATATATATCACTCAGCAGAATTCTTGGCATACAGTACACCAGTATAGCACTAGCCACAGTCATACCTAAAATAATTTTCCCTGCTGTGTCACACACTGTGGTGTACAGCTTCAGCACACCCTGCCCTGGCACTTGAGCCACTGAATCACTTCTGCCCCCTGGTTCTGCACACATTTATATCTCTACAGGAGAAATGAGTCATCTTGTAGTTACTGAACAGCCAGACACAAATACACAAAGAACCATGTGCTCCTACCTGAGATAGTACATGAGCCACAGTTCTCCTGGGTTCCACAGCCTCGTCAGTAACCATCCTCTGATATTTCCAAGATGATGGTATTTTGGAAAAATTCCTGGCCTGGATACCATTCTGAACGGTAACAGCATGTGAGTTTGGGTTTTACCATAGGTAATAACTCATAAGAAACAAAGAAGATGGAATGTCTGGATGTCTGGAGAACTTTTACAGGCATCTAACACATGCAGAAGTGCTAGGAGGTGGGATCCTAGACAGTACACAAGTGTCAAGACTGCAGAGGCTTTGTGGACAGAGCAGAGTTTTAAGCCCAGTCTTCACTGAATTCGCTACTAGGCCTGAGTTTGTATTGCTTTTGCCTTTATACAGATAGACATATCTCTGTAGAACTCCATATGTATAATACGCATTTTTACCTTACTGTCCTGTGCACAGACTGACCTAATTTGTTTCGTTTCAGGTGGTAGACCTCAGAAACAATGCACTGACCACTCTTATGCCAATCGTGACCATTGCTCTAGAATTGCCCCACCTGGAACTTGGCTTGGCTGATAACCCGTGGCAATGTGGTGAGAGCAACACCAGCTTCCAGAACATCACCTCCGCATCCTGGAGGGAAATGTGGAATGCCGTCTGCAACGTGTCTGTGGGTAAGCAAGAGGCATTCCCTTTTTCTTTCTTTCTGATATGGTTTCATTTTGACCTGGGGAGTGAATATAAGAAGGCGGTCTCCTTAAATGTAGTGACAGTCTCTAGAAAGGGCAAGGATGCTGATACCTACCTGTCTTAGTCATCGTTCTATTGTTCTGAAGAGACACCATGACCTCAGCAACTCTGACGATGGAAAGCATTTCACTGGGGTTGGTTTACAGTCAATTATCATTAAGGTGGGAACCATGTTGGTGTGCAGACAGACAAGGTGCTGGGGAAGTTGCTGAGAGTTCTAGTAGGCAGCAAGAACAGAATGCCACACTGGGCCTGGCTTGAGCATCTGAGAGCTCATCCTGCCCCCAGTGACACACTTCCTTCAACAAGGACACACCTCCTAAGAGTGCCACTCTCTATGAACCTATGGCAGTCATTTTCTTTCAAACCACCACACCGCCCCAGTCAGCACAGGGCTGGGTCACAGGATAATCCCTGTTTCCCTTGGCTTCTGATGGTTTTCTTCACAGGGTCAAAGAAACACTCAAATGAACCAGTTCTTTAGCTAGAAAAGAAATTTTGCCTAGAAGCTTCTAGAATATCACAAGTTCATCCCAATTCTTAATGCTTGATTAAAGAAATGGCTTTAAAGTCTGAAACATTATCCCAAATGCCTACTAACCTCTACAGTCTGGCCTCTGTGTACAGAACACATGCACACAGATTTAAGAAGTAAAGTTTCCTTTGATCTGATTCTCATCCCTTTCCCTTGAGCAGATTATACCACGGAGGCAGGACAAACTGGGAAGGGTTTATCCCCCTGTTACACTAACTATCCTGAAAACTAGATTTATGACAGACAAAAAACCCTTGACTCTGACCTATCTGGGTCTGTCATTAGAGCAGACCATAGCTATGGATTAGAAGACATTCATGAAGAGCAGAGGAAGTGCCCAGCCAGGATTGGCATTCTGAGCGTAGAAGACAAAGCTGGATATTTTACTGTTTATCAGAACTGGGGAAAAGTTATAATACTAATACTACTACAAGCCTATAGCAAATAAGGCACGAGGATAAGGCAGGTGCTATATAGGGTTAATAAAATGTTCTAGCAAGTGCAAAATAGTTGAGAGAGTGGAGGAAGGAGAAGTCCTCTTATCCTGCTTCTTCCTCTATGGGCATCAGTCATGCAGGAAGCCAGAAACAACCTCCTGGGCCCATGAGTAGCAGGCTTATGTCTCACAATCTTATAAAAATGTATATAGAGCCCTATGCACACTGTGGGCATTGAACAAGAATGAATGAATGCATGAATGAATGAATGAATGAATGCATGAATACATGAATACATAAATAAATACATGAATGAACAAAATTACTTTTCATCTGAAATATAGCTAGATAGAGATTAAGGAGGGTTCACAAAAGTTCTGAAAGCCTGGGGACATTCCAACATCTCATCAGTGTGTTTTTCTATCTCCCTCTTGCAGAGAAGGAGAAGCCATATGTGGAGACTCCTCATATCAGAATTTCCAGGGATACACATCTTCCTCGCTCTCCTCCAAGTCACTTGAAAAGCCTTGTCCAGAGCAAAGCAGAGTGGCCCCAGGCAGGAATGGACATGCACCTTTCTACTCTGGGGAAGGAGGCACAGGTTGGTTCTGGTGATCTCAAAGGGATGTGGCCACAATCCCTGACAGAACTCAGAGACTCCCAGGATGAACATGTCATTGGCAGAGATGGTCACAAACCCCCAGACCTTGCCTTGGCCATCTGCCTGTCAGTGCTCATCACGTTTGTGGTAGCTTTCTGGATGGGGGTTTTCGCAAGGCCCTATATGGACCGATTACGATTACAATTACAATTACGGCAACAAAGACGCTTGAACAAAAGGCATGGCTCAGATAATGCCTACTCAAACGAGGGCTTCCATGACAACATTGAAGGTGCCCAACACCAAGGGACAGATCTACACCAAACTACCCACCACCTAAATCTTTCTGAGAACCAGAACCCTTCCTGGATGACAGAGCCAATCCCACGCGGTGCTGTCCTATCAGAACGTATGCTGGGAAGCAATGGAATGGACCTCGGTAGTCAGCAGAGCCCAGAGCAATTTGAGGACAGCAGTGAGTCAAGAAGTGAAGATGGTGACATGTTTCCAAATGGCCACGTAGCCCATTCTGCGCTCCATGGACTTCCAAACGCTGATGCTCACAAGCCAATTTCACCAGTGCGGGATGACCATGCTGTTCTTGAAGAATCACATTATGACATGGTGGCTCCAGGATATTCTCTCATTGATAATGTGATGGATAGGTCTTCCATCACTAGCCCTCTGGGAACTTTCACCAGCTCTACCAATAGTGGGCAGGATGAATTCTACCCGTCACAGCCAAGAGATGTTGTGAATTCCTTCTCCAAACCTCTAGCACATACACACACTCAAGAGGCTGAAGAGAGTATGGGAAAGGGGTGCCCTGAACCTTTGGGAGCCATGGGCTCACAGGTGGAATCTTCTGAGGAAAGGCACGTGAACAATTCCATTAGGGAGCTGGCCACACAGCAGCCAGGCTTCCAGGAAGCTGATGCTAAGGAAAGACTTTCCCATGTCTACAGTGAGGTCCTATACAATGACCCACCCTCGCTTATGCCAAGATGGGGCAGTGGCCATTATGTCACCCCTGCTACTGAGGAGCCTGTGGAAAGAGATGCTCCTTTTGACCGTCATTATGACTTGGTGACCAACTACGAGTCTGATTCCGATGAGGGCTCTTTGTTTACCCTTAGTTCTGAGGGTTCTGAGGACACACGGAGCTTGGTTGAAGAACAGGCATCTGTGGAGAATGGTGGGGCCAGCTATCCCCTCCCAAGCAGGAACTTGGGGGAATACGAGGACAGTGTGACATCAGCAGAAAGTGTTGAGGACATCACATCACAAAGGATTCTAGAGAAATGTGAAGCGCAGGAAGCTCACCTTGGGAACACTCTCACTTCTGGTCTAGACCCTTGTGTGTATGAGACTCATCTGGAAAATGACCCTAGCTCCCCTGACCCTGGGACTATATCAACATGGCCCCAACCCCCAGGACGTAAGCTATTACATCATGAGACTCTAGGTACAATTATATATGATGACATAGGACCCCAGTATGAGGCAGTAGACTGGCGCTACTCCCTGCGAGACCTGGAATTCTCAAATGTAGATAGTTCGCCATCACCACCATATTCTGATCAAGATCTCTCAGATCCTGAGGAGCACACCAAAGAAAAGTAAACATTGATCCATGGCACCTTTCAAGGCCGGGAGACAGAGCTCTGTTGGTGGAGTATTTGCTCACCATGTACAAACCCCTGGGTACAAACCACAGCACTGTATAAATTGGGCACACGGGCACATACTGTCAGCCCAACCCTTGGGAGGCAGAGGCAGGAAACAGGCATGAGACTGAAACAGCTTTTGCGGGGTAGATGATGTAATGTCCTAGCAAATGTGGGCTCTATTGCTCCAACAGTCAGCTCATGAGAGATGTCAGCTCTACAAATGACAAGACCCAGTCTCCCACTCAGATTCTAGGATCACATCCTCAACTCCAGTTGCCCAAATCTGCATGGTTATGCTGGAACCGAAAAATCATAATATTTCTTCACAAACATGTGCTCCAAAATTCATTTTCTTAGTCAACAGTGTCACAGTGTCAACCCAGTCAATCCAGTAAACCCATTAGCAGAGTTTAGTCTTGTCTTCTCTTTTATTTCCTACATCTGCATAGCCTCTAACCCAGTGGTTCTCAACCTTCCTAATGCCGTGACACTTTAATACAGCTCCTCATGTTGTGGTGGCCCCCAACTGTAAGCTTAGATTTTTCAAGACGTACTTGATTTGGGGTTCTTAAACACTTCAACCTCCCTTCTAGCCCACCAACCAGAGATAGTGGAGAAAGAAGGATAATAGGAAAGGGGGGTTGTAGACCTGTTTAGAAGTAGTTCTTTGGGGCAATTCCAATCTTTGTTGTCAGGATATCAGCAATCCAGTCCAATAACCAACACAAAACGAATCAGCAACAGCAGCTCGATCTGGCAGAAACCGCCATGCTCTGCAGAATCAGCCAGAGTCAGCAGAAGCAGCAAGAATCCGCTGGAATACCACAAGAAGTTCTTTAGCGTGTAGCAATGCAAGAACATCCCCTCGCTGTTTGTGGAGTTGTATTTATATTTTTTCTAAACATCACATACCTTCTCAAATGTCTACTCCAACAAAACAGCAAATGCCCTCTCAAAAGAGTTTCCAGGAAAACATCATGGACCCTCTCACAAGACAGCTTCCAAAAAGACATAACATGACAAAACTGAGTTAAAAAAAAAAAAACAGAAGTTTCCACTTCATCCAACCATAAAGTTACCTAATTATTACTTCATATTGTAAGTCATAATGTAAATATCTGATATGCAGGACATTTGGTATTCAACCCTGTGAAAAGTCATTCAACATCCCTGAAGGGGTCATGACCCACAAGTTGAGAACCACTGTTTTGTGTTTGGCCCACACAAGTGTAGTGTGAGTTCTTGGCTGTCTGTGTGAGGAGACACTTGGCATGCAGTCTGGATCTGGATAGACAATTTGCATTGAATTAGGGTTTGCACGGAAAATGAAAAGTAATGGAGTTTGGAGGAAGGGCGCAGAGAGTCTCCAGTTCACCTCATGGCATCGCTGCTAGTCCTCCAGGACCTCTCTCCTCAACAACTCTTGCAAAGGCTCAGGCCTTGACCCTCTTGCCTTCTCCCCTGGCTCCGACTCCTCCGTGAGAGTTCTCACATCTCTGGGCTTTAGCCACCATACCCTCTCTGCTAGCATTTCTTACTTCTGTAACTCTAGCTCTGAAATCTGTTCTAGGTTTTATGCTCCCATCCAGGTGCCTATCCAATTTCAAGGTGATCGTATTCACACTGAAGCTTTGTCTCGCCCCCAGTCACTACCAAATCTGGTCCTTCACACCCTTATCGCACCATTCAGACAACGGCTCCATCCAGATACCTAAGGATTACCCTGTTAACATTTCTCTCCATGATCCCCATAGCTAACTTATTTGTCATCAGGTACAAACAGTTCAGATGCTAAATATCTGTCGTGTCTGTTCCATCTTCCCTGTCCTTTCTGCCAGAACTTCAGCCTGCACTTTGTCAGTCCCACCAGATCACAACAGCATACAAACTGCCTCCTACAAACTCTGTATTAGCAGAGAGTTTCCAAAGAAATAGAATCTACAGGATACCTTGAGATACGTAAGGAAAGATTTACTGTGGGAAAACAACACACATGAGGACAGAAACACAGAAGTCCCTTGATCTGATCTTCCCAAGCTGGTGCCCATGTAAGCCACCATCCCAGAACCATCCAAAAAATGAAAGTTAAGGATAGGTGGATCTGATGTTATGAATCCCAGTCTGAATCCAAAGCCTTAAGAACCAGGATCACTGATGTCCAAGTGAAGTAGAGAAATGGTTGTCCCTCGGCATGATGAAAACATAGTCTCAAGTGGGCTTAACTCATTGGTCAGGGTCACAGGCACCAAAACCTCAACCAAATCAGTGATATTCCAGGTTCTTTGTATTGCAAATCCAAAATTTCACAGATAATGAAGGTAACTTTAAGGGGTTTTATTTATAGCGAGAGAGCAAGTATGAAAAGTAGAAAGTCTCAGGGTCTCAGGAGAAAGTTGCCTCTGAGGGGCTTTGTTGAAGAACCAATGAGACTTTTGACTAAAGAAGTAAACAAGTCTGAAATGACTGGGTTGAGAAATAAGGAGAGATGGCCTGGTCATCCCAGTCAGTCCAACCACAGTTCCTCACGGAATGTCCATGTGCCTGCCTCTCCATTCTTGTGACTGGACTAAGCTTCTGGCACAAGTCTTCAAGGTCCAGTGAAGTACCTCTTCATGCATAGCTTCCAGACAGCTGTGTTCTATTGCTATGCAACAGAAGAAAAAGATTAAATGCATACATACATGAATAACCTAGGACATGAACCAAACCAATGCCTCCTGGACAAACATTTCTGACATTTCCAGTCAGATCAGAATAGTCATAGACTCACGAGAGTTGCTGGCTCCTGGTCAGGAGAGCGCAGGTTGATTTTGGAGGTCCCATCCTAACCATCTGTCAAGTTTCTTTTTTCCTCATCACAAGGGCGAAAAGATGGAAACTCCAGCCCAAGAAGCGAAGGCTACTCCCTCTTTCCTCTGCCTTGATCTTCTTCCTGGGCCTTTGGTGGACTGGATGATGCTACCACATGAGGGTAGTGTTCTTCACTAGGTCTACTGAGTCAGTGCTAATCTTTTCCAGAGACAGCCACTAGGCACATACAAAGGTAGAGCTACCTGAACATCCATCCCTTAGTCCTCAAAACATAAAATCTACCACCATACTCTCCCTCCTTCCTCCCTCACAGTGCAGACAGCATGGCTGCTGAGATGCAGATACGACCACGGAAGCTTTCCCTCCTGCCTGTTTCTATGAAACTCCAACCTAACTCTGTTTCTGGACCTCTGTCCATGTCACATCAGCCCCAGCTCCTCTTTCTGAACCCCCCAAAGGAGCCTCCTTTAGCTGACTAGCATCTACACAGGGTAGCTTTCTTGTTACCTCCTTGGGGAACTCTTCGACCCTAGAGTTAGTTAGATTCCCCTACTACAACCCTCTTTACACATCACTAGTTTTCACAAAGAAGGCATGTAGCGTGTGTACAGTTAAATGATTGTACCATCATCAGCCTAATGTTTGCCCCTTTTGTACTAAAAGCTTCATGAGAAGAATAACAACAACAACAAACCCCCACATATCTGTCTCGCTGAGACTTCACCCTTAGTAGGTTCTTAATATATGCATTTATTCAATAAATCATGAATGAGCAGTCTCTGGAGTACAGTCCAGGGAATTCCATGATCGGGCCCCATTTCTCATACAGCTTGCTTATTCTTTCCCTTTATCCTGCCTGCTTATGACAACTTGAACCAAGCCGGCCAATCATACGAATCCTCATGCTTACAAACACCGGCCTGTGTCATGTCACGGGCTGAGCTGTGTTGCAGCCTACTTGTGTTCATTGTCTGGCGTTTCCAACACCAGCATCTATCTGTCTACGCATTCAAGACTCCATTAAAGGCACATCTCTTCCATACGTCTTTTCATCCTCATTCCACCCAGGTAGAAATGACCACTTCATCCCCTACTAGGGCCACCATAGTATCATTCATCTTGTGGAAGCAACAAGACAATATGGCTTGGTTGGGACCCACTAGACTCTTCTATTAGCCAGTCTCCAACTCTTGGTGGATATTGAATGTCCACTGGGGTTTCAAACTTTTTGTGTCCCAGAACCAAAAAACCTAGACAGAGACACATGGGTCGTGGCAGAAGCAAAGGGAGTTTATGGAGAAGCAATGTGCATCAGGGAGCAGAAAGGGGCCAGGGCTGGGAGGAAGTTTATAGGTTTGGTGTCAAACACTGTACAAACTGCTGTGAACTTTTATATCCCAGGTTTTGGGGTCATCCACACAGCGTGGGCCTCTTCTGTTCATGCTCTATTTGTTACATGTTGGCCCTCGTGGCAAAGAGCCTCCAGTCTCTGTGCCAACTGTTCCTTTAATATGCTAATGTTGACCTCACTCACCAAGCTATTCCCCTGCCTCACAAAAGTTGGGTAGGATTCAGCTTCAGTGTGGAATCAAAGAGGATGACTGTCATCTCTGAGCCGGCACTTATTCATAAGGTGAAATCCTGCTTTCCGTCCGAGAAGCTCATAGAAAAGTGTACATGGGGCTTTGTCTCTATTTATTTGTTCTCTTGGGTTTTTTCCAACTTCCAAAAAGAGCTCTTGTGGTTTAGCAGAACTAGTGCGGACACCACAGCTCAGCAGCCCAATTCTTTTGTGAAAACACATTTAACCCCCTCTCAGTGTGCCTGCTGTCAGCTTGGCCAGGGTTGGAAGCCTGCAATTCCAGATTTTGACACTCTCAAATCTTGGCTTGAGTTCTGTGGAGCCCTCTCCCTCGGCTTCTCCTCTGTTTATTTAGTCTGAGATTATGTCTCCAGTTCTGTTATTCCCCAGATGACTTTTAAACGGTTTGATTTGATTCAGATCGCCCTTTTGCATTTCTAGAGCAGAATTTTATTATAACAAATTCTAACAAATATATATTGTTTTATATATATAAATATTTAACAAGTAATATAACAAATATATTTTTATTCTGACATATTTTCCTCAGACTTACAGCT